TTTTTTTTAATTTAATTATTTATATTTTTATTTTGGGGCTGCTAGATTACGCGCGTGTTTCTTGGAAGGAAAGCGTAATTGCTCCCCTGGGAGGTGGTACGGGGAAGTGTCTGAAGCGGTGCGGTTGCTATAGAGGCAGCAATTATATAATGCGCACAACCCTTGCCATGATTTGTAAGTTAAAGCTACTGCGCTAGCCCGGCTGTTAAGTGCCCGGCTGATCCAAATCATTTTGGGGCTGCTAGATTACGCGCGTGTTTCTTGGAAGGAAAGCGTAATTGCTCCCCTGGGAGGTGGTACGGGGAAGTGTCTGAAGCGGTGCGGTTGCTATAGAGGCAGCAATTATATAATGCGCACAACCCTTGCCATGATTTGTAAGTTAAAGCTACTGCGCTAGCCCGGCTGTTAAGTGCCCGGCTGATCCAAATCAGGTAACTCTTGTGCGGGTCAGAAACCTCCCCTGCATCAGCTGCAGCTTGGAGAGTTATTGCTGCTTTTGCTAAGCCTTGAGCTAGGGGTTTGGGAGGCCCTTCCCCACCAGGACCTGCTACTGATGCCCCCTGAGGGTAAATGACACCTGAGGCAGCAGCAGTAGCTGGTCCCTGCTCTGACTGATATCAAAAAGCAGAGTTAAAAGGTGTGACACCCTTGGGATGTTTTAATGGGGTTTCCTGTAATGAAGCCTGTTGATCACTTGGTCCCACCTGGAGCCGAGGCGAGGGAAGTAGGGAAGCAGGATTCGATGCAATTCTGCAGCCAGCGGGGTGAGCCCCCCGCCGCCAGCTGCCTTTTGGTTGTGTGACTTTGGAGACAGCCTGGAAGCGATTGCAAGGGAGTGCAGCAAATTGCACAAATTGGCTTCCCTGAAACCTAATTATGGCTTTTTCTGGTGCTTGGGCCGTCTGTGCCCGTGCAGTAACACTGGTCCCATTCCTGCCAGGGGTAAAGGCGGCACTGGAAGGGGTGAGAGATGTCCCAGAATGACCATGGGATTCTCGGCAGCCGCTGGCAATGGGCACGCAGTGCAGCCAAGAATTTCTTTCAAACTATTTCCCCCTGTGAACTATTTCCCCCTGAGAACATCCTGGTGAGCTCCTTTGCACTTAAGTGGAGCAATTCCCACATGCCAGGCTTGCAGCCCTGGAGCACAGGGCAGCAGAGCAGGAATGCAGAGAGCTGGGAGCAGCGCGGGAGCAAGAAGAAGTGGAAACCGCTGCAATTTTAACTGCTTCAGGCCCAATTTGCCCATGGACGCAGGCCGGAGAAGCCTCCGGAGCAGCTGCTCATCCCAGGGCAGATAGGATTCCCTTGTGATTCCCGTTGGTCCGGGTAGCTTCTCCCAGGTTACCTCATTACAATAGATCCTGGGAAGCATCGAGATTCCCAGGAAAGGCAAGCAGACGCAGGAAAGGCACGGATGGACAGATGGACACGACGGAGCAGCAGCGCTTCACACTGGGCTCGGTGGGAGGAGGTTATCACACCTACTGCAAACCTAATCTCTGCTTATCACATATCTCCAATGACTTCCTATTAATACCAGAAACCAGCTTTCTTCTCTTTTTCCTGCGCACAAGTTCCATTTTTCTGCTTCCTAAAATGATAAGCGGGGCAATAAGTACAATAGCTAGAGGGTTCACTCAGCTTCCCTGCCATCCATCAGGTCGATGGCATTTATGGCACTTTATGGCATTAACTGCTTCGAGTCCCTTCTTGTGCACGGGGCATCACCAGTCCAAACTGCAGCTGCTTTTCCAGCCACCTTGCAGGTTTGCTCTATTGGAGGAGACGGCAAAATGCCCCACAATATTTCTCCCCAAATCCTCTCTGATACGGCAACCTTTTAATCAGGATTTGTTATTATTTTTTCATCAGGACTTAATTTTCCTGGTAGTTCTCACCACGAAAATGATAAACAGGGCCCAAAAGCAGAACAGGCATGTCCTTGCCCTCCCAAGAGTAATGCAGCAAATCAAAAACAGCAATTCTTGTGCTTTTAATCACTCTCCCCACCAGTACAAGCTTCTCGGGTCATATATGGCATTGTCACACTTGGAGACTCCAGTATCCAGAAAATTTAATTAGGGGAGTTCTTAGAAGTACTTTAAAGCACCCGTTTTTCTCAGAAGGCATTGCAGAACAGAGATTTTGGAGAAGCCAGCAAGGTATTTATAGTAAAAAATGAAGCTTGCATTCAGACTTAAATGTTCCAGATGGGGAGCTGGTGAAGGCCTCTGTCCTTGGACACAGAGATATGGGTAGAAAATGAAGCAAATAAAGAACTGCGTCCGCTTTGGGAGAAAAGGACCTCAAAAAGGTCTTAGTGCAGGGCCAGTCTCCTCTGCACAGAAGAAACTGGGCTGAGAAAGCACTACAGGGTGCACGGGGAGATGGTGCACGGGGACATGGTGCACAGGGACGTGGTACACGGCCTGAAAACGAGAGACCTGGTAGCAACCTTTTGGTGTTGAAAAGGAGTCGTTGCAGAGAGATGCTGTTAAATGGACTGAGCCGGGTGGAGAAATCGTCTGCTTTTACAGCCAGGGACGTTCAGGTTGGGCAGCAGGGGAAAACCGAAGCCAGCCCAGCTCTAAGGATGGAGGTGCTGGAACAGGCCAGTCTCCAGAGCCTCTGGATTTTCCCCCCTGGGGGGTTTTGCAAAAACGCCAGACAAGGATCTGTCTAGAATGGTCTGGAGCAGGAAAGTCCAAACGCGCTTGCGGAGGTGGAAGCAGGATGCGAGAGGGACGCGGAGCAGCAGGACACGGACTTTTTCCCGAGGATCCTAAGGCACCAGCAACACACGCAGCACGGATGTGTTGTACCCAGAGAGGCAACGTTTCCCCAGACTATCCGCACCCCCAGCTCAGCAGAGACTCTGCAAACTTGTGTCCTGGGTGGTGCAGGTGCCTCCGCTAGGTAGGAGCAAGACCTTGTCAGCTCCAACAGGTCTTTGCAGCTGCAAAATAATGAAGAACGATGCACCGGTGTCCCAGCTATGTGCCGACCGAGAGGGCTCTTGCTTCCAGAGTAATAACATTCTGCACCCAAAGCAATGACATGACATTTTTCACTCAAAGTAACGACATTTTGCACCCAAAGCCACAATGTTTTGCACCCAAAGCCACAATGTTTTGCACCCAAAACAACGAGGGGTTTGCAGCAGCACAGTGCTGGAATTCCCAGCGCGGGCAGGTCGGCTCTTGCCCGCCGGCGGGTTTGTTTGCGGAGCCGCCTCCCTCTTGCATCCGGCTGGGCCCGTATCCCTGCCCGGGAGGCAAAGGGCACCCGGGGCTGCAATCCCTGCATCCCGCTGGCCAGGGACCAGCTGGCGCCGGCCCACGATCCAGAGGTGGCTTGGAAGTGGAAGATGGTCCATAGGAAACGCTTCCCACGGGTGCATCCTAAGCAAGGATGGAGGGTACGGAGCAGGTCTGCCACAGTCGCATCCTGCTGGAATCCCATATCCCGCAGGGACCAGACCAGCAGTGACTCTGGGGCCCTGCGAGGTGCAACAGGAGAAAGTCCGAGCTTGAGGCTTGCATTGGGCCCCCTTTCCCTGCAGCCAGGGAAAGTCAGCTGGGCTGGAGGGGATTTCTGCCGGGAATGCTGGGGCTTCCC